GTATCTTAAAATTTATAGGAGTATATATTTTATTCTGCTGCACGGAACATTTTGCTTTCGACTTTAGTACAGGCAACTAATTTTAAATAGGTGAGATTTGAGGTTATGGGGCGACGATTATGGAAATGGCTGTCTTCTGGGAAGTAACACATGTAATATGGTAAGTATCTGTCGACTTTTACAGAATAAATCTTCCTCATTTATGATGAAGACAATGCATAACAGCCTTGAGGGCTGGCTGTAAATAAAATACCATCACTGCACCTAAATTATTAATGAATGTAAGTTTACAAACATTTAGGTTATTGCGATGTAGCTGCTCATGAGCCATCTTTCGGAGAAACATGGTACCATCTTCTTTGCTACTGCGCATGACAGACGTTTACCAACGTTTCGCCCTGATGTTGGTAGACTTGTATCATACTACGCGTCGCCACAGTCCAGAAGACAGCCAACTTCGTACTCGCGGCCGTGAGAACCTCAAATCCTATTGGAGTGGAATTAGTCTCTTCTTGTGACTTTTATATTTTATTTTCTTCAGACACACCGCCACAGTTAGTGTACCGATTCATTGAACAGACGATTCAACCCGGTCCAGAAGTTTCATTGAAATGTGTAGCATCAGGGAACCCAACGCCAAATATAAAATGGACGCTAGACGGATTCCCGCTCCAAAGGAGTGATCATAATAGGTATTTCCATGCAACACATTCATACCGATAATTAAATTTTAGTCCAATTATGTACATTTCTGGAACACGTTTAATATCAACCAGAGTGTACACTACGAAGTATCAACTGTAAAATTAGCAAAAACTCGTTAACGATGTATTGCATTCATCCGCTATTACATTTCACGATAGGGAAAAAGCGATGTTGGCAGAACTGTTTCTAGAAACATTGAATTTATCACTCGTTTTGGGACATTTTATTAATTTATATGTTATTTAGCGACTCGGAATCAAATGTAAAGGAAGAATTACATGGAATTATAAGTGACTGCTTCGTATGTAATGACACTTTCTTACATTCATGTACTCGTAGTGTGGAGAGGTATGATAATGGTCTTGTGAGTTGTGACGTCATGTGGACGTTGGGTGAGTACCAACGTTCAGGAGGAAAATACTGCATCTGTCCTCAGGGTATCTACAAGCCCACACAACGACCACAAGGATCTCAAACCTCATTAAAAGTTGTAGAAAGATTGTGAGTAATGAATTGGAAAGGATGTGGAAGGAAGTTGCGGTTTCCGTTTTGTAATAGGCTTGGATTCCAACATCTTCTTGGGGAACTAAATAAAACCACGAGTAGTCAAGATTCGAACCTGATACCTCTCAAAAATGAAGCTGGAATGCTAACCGCGATGTTAGGTTAGGTTAAGTTAGGTTAGGTTATGTTAGGTTAAGTTAGGTTAGGTTATGTTAGGTTAAGTTAGGTTAGGTAAGGTTAGGTTAAGTTAGGTTAGGTTAAGTTAGGTTATGTTGTCTGCAGTGCATTCAAATTATGGTAAGGAGATGGTTGTCTGTTACAAATAACTCTGTGAAGAGAAGACACGAAAGAGAAAAAGTTATCCACAGCGAAACTCGTGACTTTAGGCTGTAAAAATTGTGGCGACAAACCTCCTGTTTTATGAAACAGACAAATGTTTACTTTTCTATTCTCCGATCTTCGTTCCTTTAGTTGTGGTATCTGTGTGACCAAATTTGTGGCCTTCACCTCTTAATTGCGTGCATTGTTTCAGGTTTTATGTCGGACAGTACGAACTAATGCACGGTGGCGATGTTATAAGTCACGTTAACATCACAAGTGTACGAGTTGAAGATGGTGGCACTTACCAGTGCATGGCATCCAACAGAGTCGGCGAGATTTCGCACGCAGCACGTCTTAATGTTTATGGTAGATTTCAGATTACTAAAACTCAGAAGTGTGATGAGTCACGTATGAAAATTCCTCGGAACACGGTTACAAAATTAACTTTTTTTGCACAATTACTCTATTTCTATCTGTAATTTGCGCTGCAGGGTCACCGTACATCCGTGTCATGGGTGAAATATCAGCCGTCGCTGGAGTAACTTTACGAGTCACGTGCCCCGTTGCTGGTTATCCCATTGACAGCATTAAGTGGTATCGAGGTGGGTAAATTATTTTTAGTCTTATGAGGAAATTGTCGTCGAAAAGACATGTCTGGAAATATCAGCGCAGATTAATTACTGTGCTAAAGCGTAAAATCTTAGGGAAAACAAAAAACATTCATGATTCTTTGTTTTAGACTTCAGCCATTGTCTGTTGAAAGTTGTTTAAAATGTCTTAAAAGATCGCAACGCTTCAAAAGATGGATCTTCCCTAATTTTTAGGGAAAGGTACCTGAACTGTCGGATGTGACAAAGCTGTTTCCGGTCCATGAATAGTTACCATGCCTTGTGGGATTCAGTCCACCATTTTGGGCAGAGACTAACCTAACCTAACCTAACCTAACTTAACCTAACCTAACGTGTGATTCTTCACCTACATAGAACCTAACCTAACCTAACTTAACCTAACCTAACTTAACCTAACCTAACTTAACCTAACTTAACGTGTGATTCTTCACCTACATACAAACTATCTACGCCAAGAACTCCAAATTTAAAATGACATTGCAATAAGTAGGATAATCGGCGGTCAGGATTAGAACCCGTGACTACAATAACAGAGATTAATGTTAAATGAGATTTGGTGCATCTGTACATTATCTTCCTGGGGTCCCGGGTTCGATTCCCGGCGGTGCCTGAATTTATAACTTCGAACCCCAAGATTACAAGGTTCTAACCGCTAGACGACAGATCATTAGACGCCGTCTATTATGTCGCAGGAGATCGCTTGCTGCCTATCAATAGAAGACATCTTGTCTTTTCTAATGGTACGTTGGTCATCGAGAAGGTCCAGTCGGGAGTCGACGGAGGTTCCTACAGGTGCGAGGCCTCAAACAAACAAGGGAGTACAGCGAGAGGAACAGCTCAGATAACAGTCATGGGTAGGTTATTGAATTAAATTTATAACTTGTTCTCGCTAACATCTCGTTAGATGTGTGTAATTATTTTTATAACTTGTCAGCATTTATATATTTTATTTGTTGAAATTCAACTCTTATTCGAGGTGTATATTAGGTCATTATAAGATTATTGAGAGTAATGTTCGTGTTTTGATAGAATTGAAACTCCCATCTTGTAACAGCGTCATAGAAATTAGGCTTAAGAAATGCTGTTACTATGGAAACACGATGAGAAAATTTGACTTGACAGCTCAAGAAAGTATTTAAGTTAATATATCTCTGACATTCTAAGCTCATCAGTAACTTCCATGCACGATTCCACGTACTTGTGTTTAGATTCCTTTATTTTCGTGGTTACTTCGCGCCCATTTTATTTATTTTAACAGTGGAAAACTACAATTTTCAGCAGAGGGTGTACATTTATTTTAAGAATATTATCTTAAGTGTGCTTTTAATAGAGGACACGAAACTCTAATTTGTATGTGTTGTACATTTATTGCGTCACTGGCGAGGTACGTATTAAGCTTATAATTTAATTAACCAAGAAATTATTTTTATACTTTTCAATAGACTGTGTAATATCTTTAAATATTAAATCGTAAATTTTTATGATGACTAAGTACCACGAAGTCTTCCCACGTGATCAGCTGTATTCAGTATGGAATGATTTTCCAGTGTCTCTGATTACGTTTTGCTTAGATATTCTAGGGAACCGAACGCTCTGACCTTGATTTCGGGTCGTATACGATATTTAAGAGATATCGATTATTTGCTCTGTAAGGTTGAAATTGTTCAATGGAACCGAGTGTGACAAATATATCTGTGCATTAGTTTATATAAAGTCATTTGAATAAAAATTTCCTTGGATATTATCCATCGTCTAGTAAAATATAAAACGTAAAACGACGTTTCGGAGATGGGACTCTATCTCCGTCTTCAGGTTCCTACACAGTTGGGCCCACTAGATAGAGCTAATCTCTATCTCCGGACAACGTAAAGGAGTGAAAGTCCTGGAATAAAAAGGCATTGCCACACCATCCATCCATGGGACGTAAAAGAATAGTATGTAGAAATCAAAATTCATAAACACGATAAAGCCAAAAAAAATACTTACAAAATGTGGGAATAAATACGTATAAACGTTAATTTGAAACTCGACGATGGATGATATCAAAGTAAATTTTTATTCAAATGATTCTTCGCCATCGTCAATAAGTTTTAGATCTGATGTTCATATAAAGTGTTCTGTTCCAGTCCCTCCTAACATCACTCCTTTCAGCTTCCGTTTGGATTTGCATCTCGGTGAACGCGTTGGCGTTCAGTGTGTGGTTAGCAAAGGTGATTCGCCTCTCACGATCCACTGGCTAAAGGACGGAGAGCAGTTGAGACAGGGAGACGGACTGGTGTTACGCACGCTGGACGAGTTCACGAGCGTTCTCAGCATTGGGGCACTCGCACCTGAACATGGGGGGAACTACACTTGTGTTGCCCGTAATACAGCGGCTCAGGCGGCGTACTCTGCCCCACTCTCCGTTAATGGTACGGTGGAATGTGTTCTTGACGCATTAGCCTGGAACTTGGAGGAGAATAACGGACAACGTAGAATGCGCTGCTCCTTCATATAGAGCCGTCTTCCTTCCAAGTTTGAGAATATTTTAATTCCATCTCTACATTGAAATTATTAATATTATGGTGCATTTTCAATTTCTTAAATTATAAATTTAATCACCCCTTTCTTTCCATATACCGGAGTTAAGATTCAGACGACTGTAATCTAATATTATAAAATTTTACGTAAAAATATAATATTTTTCATTATTTTACGAATACAAGTTAAAGCGTGTATTTTACTTATTCAAAGAGCGATAATTCTGTTAATATGATTAGATTTTTGGTTTTCGTACGTCTAGATAAATGGAATCGTATGTAAAATTTAAGATCAGAGGCTGAGTATCCCAAGAGATGGTTTCGTAGTCTCTTTTATCCTTACCTTCCCAGTTTATTGTGCAAATATTTCTGTCTTACGTTCGCTAAAGAACAACTCTTGCTATCGATTTAAAATTACGTCTTTACGATTTTTATTTCCGTTCTAACCCTGAACTCAAATACATTCTACAAATTTCCCATGTAATGTTCATTTGAAACATAAAAATACGTGTTACGATATTTGTAACACGTTCTTTTTGTATACTTGGAAGGAAGTTGGCTGTTTTATTTCTATGTGCGTATGAGAAGGAAGAGATTTGCCGTCTCTCGAGCCTTGTCCGTTTCCCCCACCAAGCGAGGGAAGTAACGTAGAACCGTGTCGTGGCTTGAGTGTCTGCGTATGGGTGTGTTTCAGTGCCTCCAGCAATCACGCCATTCTCGTTCGGCGAGTTGTCGGCGGGCGAACGGGTGAGGGTGACGTGCAGTGTCAAGCGTGGAGATCCGCCACTTAGCATCGCGTGGCTCAAGGATGCCCGCCCCCTCAAAAACCTAGGCCTGCATGATGACCTTGAACTCACGATCCAAGATAATGAAGAATTCTCTAGTGTCCTGGCGATACGTAGCGTTAGCTCTAGACATAGCGGCAACTACACGTGTGTGGCCCGCAATCCAGCTCAGACAGTCACCTACACGGCTCAGCTGCTGGTCACGGGTAACTAAGACTTTAAGGGCGGTGGGACATCACGGCATGTGAGCCACACTCGCGGGACTGTCTCAATGTCTCATTGCGGACATTGAAAGCAATTGAAAAGAAAAACCTGTAAAGTTAGTTACGGTATTATTTTTTGACGTAAATACGTCTATATGGAAGGGTCATTCCGCGAAAAATTTACGAAAAATGTGTAAGATCCGTATCAACAAATCGACAACAATGGTCAGCTTGCGTGCATTGTTATGTTACCTAGGAAACGTCATCTGTTCACTCGGCATTGTTGTTACCTAGAAAACGTCATCTGTTCACTCGGCATTGTTGTTACCTAGGAAACATCTGTTCACTCGGCATTGTTGTTACCTAGGAAACATCTGTTCACTCGGCATTGTTGTTACCTAGGAAACGTCATCTGTTCACTCGGCATTGTTGTGTTACATTACCGCCGTCAACAATCCGCTTTCGTAACAAGATGGATGACATTGAAGATGACATTTCATTACAGAGACGTAAATATAATTTAAATACAGAGACGTATTTACGTCAAATTCTGCGGAACCGTGGTCTCCGCTGTAACTTTTCCTGTAAAATGTATGTAACGCATAGTTTGACAGTCCCACAAGGCTCTTGTCTTGACTCCCAGCTCCTTTCTGAACCCCGCCCACACCCAACCTTTTCCACAAAAAAAAAAACAGAAAACTTTCCATTTCTCGCTTGCATGCGTCATATGAATTCTGACCTGTCTCGTGTTGCTTCGCAGTCCAGGAATGAGACAGCTGTTCATTCCTTGACTATCACCGCCTTGGATGACTTGCGGTTGACAAAAGCCTTCTACTTCTTCAAGCAGTGCAGGTAACCTAACGCTTATTAGCATGCGGTATATTTTCTTTTAGTATAATTATTCTTCATTTTTTCGGATTGCTTCGTGTGAGTATGTTGTATGTCTCTTGTTCGTTTTTTGTGTATCTTTAAGTCTTGCAGCCAACAACATTTTCAGTTGTTAAAAACCTCACATTACAAGGCCAGCAACAACTGTATTAATCATTTTCTTGCACAGAATCACGAATTGACATATTTTTCCAGCATCTGCACTGTGAATCTCAGAAACTTGTTGTTCCGATATGACGTAAAATATATTAAATGAAGGGATATGGGCCCTTTGCCGGAATGTAGAGAGTGGATGAACAGACGCATAACAACGGTGTTCCAGTTCCATGATTTTATTTATTTAGTGTTCTGTCTGACGACAGGTCCATATGAACAGGATCCTTCCATCCTTTTCTCGGACTGGGACCTGTTCATATACGTTCTTGGCAGATGATCCAGAAGTGGTTTGCCATTGCCTTCTTCTGTGTGTGAATGGAGTAATTGTTGGGATGCCACGGAGGAAAACTCCGTGTTGCCTAGACCACGGCCTTGCCCAACACAAGTTATAAATTCGGGCAACGCCGGGAATCGAACCCGAGACCCCCAGGATTACAAGGCCAGCGTTCTAACCGCTAGTTCCATGATATAAATTGAATAATTTTGTTCATCGGAACATTATTTTTTTTAAAAAAAGGAAATTGCATTGACGTTAAACTGTAGCATTTTCATATGCGTCTGTTGCAGGATATGTTGTGACTAACATTTTTTTTTATTTTTGTATACACGCAGATAAGTGTGATTTATGATTTGCTTCATTGCGATGTGGAAAATATAAATTTGATTTTCAGGCCTAAGCATTATGTATTTATCACTAAATGTCTCTTAATCACTGTCTTATGCTTCTCGGAGAAAGTTGACAATTTTCACACTTTCACTTGTTATTAGAATAGGGAGGTTTAGAGGAGTATGGAGCACCCTTTTTTTGAAAATGGAGCCACGAAACTCAGTTTCAGCCTTGCATGGCTTCTCCTGCCACTGTCAATATAACAGAGACATTCTGTGCCAGTAGAAATCACAACGTCGTCCTCTACTTATAAGAACGTAAAATGCCAAAGAGCTTTAAGTGTGTGCTGTTCGCTTTTAGGCTGCAGGAATGAATTTGTTTTTGTCTGTCCGTCCACGTAATTAAGCTTAGTTCAGCCACGCACGAGAAAAAGCCAGCTAGCCATTCACTAAGCAAGTATTGCCTGTTACGTGCACTTTTCTGGATGAGCAGGCAAATCATTGACAGATGTGATAGTGATGTAACGCCGTCCAGTGCTGTTGATCATACGGGACAGATCCATGTTGCTGTTTTCCCAAAGCATGAGGCAGTAACAAGTTACGTAACAGCATGAGACTGTCCATCAGTATGTGAAATCCACATTGATACTCCTTTCTGCACAGAGATGTCTCCATCTGTCACAGCACTCCAGTCTCACCATTCACAGATCCATTTGGTGAAATTCCTTTAACAACTTAAGATTGGTTGACAGAGGAAATTTAAAATTGTGTAATGTTAATAGGAGAAAAACGGTTTAAATAACATCAGTATTAAAACACGTCCAGATAGTTTTTTTTTAAATTACGTAACTCATACTTATTAAATTCCTGATTACTCTTTTATCTCATGAAATGATTCAGTCAGAACTCCTTATTAATTATATTATCTTTAGGTACTTGTGAGTTATCGGGACACATTGCTTTAAAAATATGTTAGGTTACGTTTGGTTAGGTTAAGTTAGGTTGGGCTAGGTTAAGTTAGGTTGGGCTAGGTTAAGTTAGGTTGGGCTAGGTTAAGTTAGGTTGGGCTAGGTTAAGTTAGGTTGGGCTAGGTTAAGTTAGGTTGGGCTAGGTTAAGTTAGGTTGGGCTAGGTTAAGTTAGGTTGGGCTAGGTTAAGTTAGGTTGGGCTAGGTTAAGTTAGGTTGGGCTAGGTTAAGTTAGGTTAGGTTAATGTGTGTGGATAAATGACACATACTTGAAAGTTATATTTTATTTCAATAAATGACACCTAACCTAACCTATTTTTAAAGCGATGTGTCCCGATAACCCACAAGTACCCTTCTTTATTATGTGATAATAATAACTCTGTCATATAGAGTCAGTATTCTTGAAATTAAACAATGTTATCATTGACTGTTCATTTCAAATGTTCCAAGCATCATCTTAAATTGTCCGCCCACAGTAACTTACGGAAGCATTCTAAAAAAAACTAATTGCAGAGTATATGCATTGTAATGGATATCCTATATTTATAATTATAAAAAAATGTAATGCAATATAAAAGTCTACCCAATTTTAATGTTGGTTCAGCTTTCTAGTTTCAGCTGGTGTGTGAAGTCAGATAATATATATATATAAGAAATGATTTTAAAGTTGGAAAACAAACATTAAAATATATGATATGAATCTTTGACGGCGACGTAACTCAATAAAATCTTCTCGAGAGATCACCCGCGTGAAATGGTTAAGGAATAAAAACGACGTTTCTGGGACCGTCTCTGTAAAAGAAAAACCAGGTTATCTGCTCGGTATTCATTTAGTTCTGGGTCTGGATGTGGACCTGGAATGATTTTAACGGGTGTGTTTCAGTTCCTCCGACGTGGGTGGTTGAACCGCAGAGCAGAGCGGCGAAACTTGGACACCAGGCACTGCTAGACTGCAAAGTGGAAGGCTTTCCTCAACCAACTGTTGCATGGAAGAAAGCTTCTGGTAATAAAAGTTGTAGCTGGAACTCATTTACGCTAACTTCATAACAGTACACGGTGGTCTATATGAAGAAGACCGGAGACCTCTGGTGGAATGCCTGTAAAATTTATATCCGTGATGGAACTGTTTCAGCAGTAAAGTTAGAACTACGTTATAAGTTTGTTCACGTTGAAGGATTGATTTTAAAATTCAGCAGCCGAGTTCAGGTACTTGATTCACACGCAACATCTCCTCAGTATATCCCTCTCAGTAAGGTAAGGTAACGTAACGTAAGGTAAGGTAATGTCATGTAATGTAAGGTAAGGTAATTTAAGGTAAGGGAATCTAATGTAATATAATGTAATGTAAGGTAAGGTAAGGTCATGTAATGTAAGGTAAGGTAACGTAACGTAAGGTAAGGTAATGTCATGTAATGTAAGGTAAGGTAAGGTAACGTAAGGTAAGGTAATGTCATGTAATGTAAGGTAAGGTAATTTAAGGTAAGGGAATCTAATGTAATATAATGTAATGTAAGGTAAGGTAAGGTCATGTAAGGTAATGTAAGGTAAGGTAATGTCTTGTAATGTAAGGTAATGTAATGTAATGTATTTTATTTATTTAGTGTTCTGTCTGACTACAGGTCCATATGAACAGGATCCTTCTATCCTTTTCTCGGACTGGGACCTGTTCATATACGTTCTTGGCAGATGATCCAGAAGTGGTTTGCCATTGCCTTCTTCTGTGTGTGAATGGAGTAATTGTTGGCCTTGCCCAACACAAGTTATAAATTCGGGCACCGCCGGGAATCGAACCCGCTATATATTACGTACGAATAATAATCTTTCATCCGCTTATTCAATACTCTCATTTTCTTCCAGCATCATATCCATTTTGTGGACCATTGACAGCTACCCTACTCGGTATCATTCACCTTTGATGGTCTTTCTTACGTGCGATTTACGACATTTGTGTTTCTTCCGTTGCTGATATAAGTGAAAATGTTTTGGGGAGAAAATCTGGTCACAGTTCATCCGGGCAAGTGTTTGGTCAGTATCTTGAGACAACCCACGACTAATCCCTTCGAACATCAAATAAAAATAATTTTAACATCTCATTTGATACTAAATTATGTAAGAAATATTTATGATATGTATTTTATATATGTGTATGAAATAACAGAAATTTAAATATTTTGCGTGATGTTTCAGGCGAAAAGCCGGGTCAGTATCAGGAGGTTTTGGGGCATCAGCTCGCGCGTTTGTTACCCAATGGCTCGTTGCTTATCGAGTCGGTAGCTCAGGAAGACGAGGGCCATTACATGTGCGAGGCAAGCAACGGGATTGGCGTTGGCCTAAGCGCCGTGGTTAAACTCACCGTCCAAGGTGCGCCATATTTCGTAGTTAAATGTTGCTATTTTTGAAGCTCATTTCAGTGTGACTAATTACGAACTTTGTGGAACCAATTTATTTTACTCCCATGGTGTGTGATATATATATTTTAATTTTGAATATGTTTAATGTGCGTGGTTCTTATTCTGTGTTTATGAACTGACAGATTGTCTGCGTTGGCCAAAATCTTGGTTATGTTCCTTCGTACAATAAGCTGTGAGCTGAATATCAAATGATCCAGATCTTTATTAATCCTAGATCTTACAGAAGATGGATATGTATTTCATTCCTTTAATCTCCTTTTTTTTAAATTTTTCCTCCATCAGCTCCTGTGCATTTCAAAGTTCGGTCAAGGAAAGAGTTGGTGCGTCGTGGCAGCTCGGCGTTGTTACGCTGTCAAGCTCTCGGAGATCTACCAATAAGTCTCTCGTGGAGGAAGGAAGGCAGTTTTGTTGAGTTGCAAGGGCGAATCAGGTATATTAAAAAAAAAATTGTGTTCTTATTAAATTGTAAATATGTAGAAGTGAAGTTTTTGTCAGAGTCTGTACTAATGAAATATTTCTTTTATTTACTTTCGTAGTATTAAGAATACGTCAGTCCCAGAAGGTTTGGTATCTGAGCTTACTATAGGAGCAGTGCGTACCGAAGATGGCGGTATTTATACTTGCTTTGCAAGAAATGAATTTGGACATGATCAGATAGCCATGCATCTCTTGGTTCAAGGTATAGTTTTATTATTTTAGTATATTTTTTTGGGAAGGAATATAAGTTCTTTTTTTTTTAAAAAAAAATATCTTAGCAGGTCTACTCATGCAGAATTTATTTTTCTGTAAAGTCATTATATATGCTCGGATTACGCAGCGTAACAACAAAGAATACATTTTTAATATTTTTTTAATATTATTATTTAATTATTTCTCGTATGTATTTTCTTTTATCGTGTAGACGCACCAGCTCCACCAACAGATCTTACCATTAAAGATTCTGGAAGCCGTCGCGTTACCATTAACTGGGTACCTCCGGTGTTGGATGGCAACAGCCCTATCGTGCGCTATCTCGTACGCTACAGCCCAACACAAGGTGCTTCCTACTCCATACATCGCGTGTATGATATTTAAATGAGATGAAGGAATATCTTTCATTCAGAGTACTTAATTTTGTAGAATTATTTGCGACGAAGCATAAGGACGTATTGGACATAATTATTTGTGTCATTAAGTACTCGTATATATTTCGTAATATTTGTCTGATTTCTAAGTATCTGAAAATTAAAGTATAAAAAACAATATTTTTTAGTTTTTATAAGATGATAGTTCATTTGGAACTGAAACATGTCGTGTGAAAAAGTGATGTTCTAATGTAAATCGAACATTTCGATAGAGAACATCATTTTAATATATTTTAAATATTAATTATGGTAATATTTTAATATTTAATAGGAGTTTTATTGTGATTAGACTGACAAGATTTAAACAAATATATAGTTTTTATAGTTGTAGGAACTATAATCTTCGTATCTGATGTCTGACGTCGTTAATTCATGCGTCATTGTAGACTCGTGGCAAGGACCAAGCCAAGAAGTGATTGTAGATGGCACTGAGAGCAAAGCGACTCTAGACGAGCTTCGTCCTGCCGCCACGTACAGCGTGCATGTCGTGGCAGAGAACACGCTGGGTCCTGGCTCCGCAAGCCTTGAGCTTCGCGTGCGAACAGACGAGGAGGCGCCGGCTGTCGCTCCACGACGTGTGGCGGTCGAGGCCGTGAGCTCGACGCAACTGGCTCTCTCTTGGGAACCCCCACCAGAGGATCAGTGGAACGGAATATTGCGAGGACATTACGTGGGCCATAGAGAACTGAGGTTAAAATATTATAATTTATTGTAATGTCAGATTGCATTTTAAATTAATATCTCGTAGATATAAAAAGTGTTATTGTAAATGTTTATTATTTTCTTTGCAGGGAAGTTGAACGGAAGAATGGTTATAATTTCTCTGAGGTTCCGTGGCAGCTGGATGGTAAAGGACAGCTCCGTTTGGATGGTCTCAAAAAGTATTGCAAATATGGTATCGTGGTTCAAGCTTTTAATGGAAGGGGGTCGGGCCCGATGTCTCCGGAAGTAGTAGCACAGACCCTCGAGGATGGTATGTTACGATTTCGTCTTATTCCTGATGAATAAAATATAAATCAGTTTAAAATTTCAACTAATGGCTTTTTTAAATGTTCATTTAAATCCTTGGACAGACCACTACAAAAGCTTGTAACTTAAAACTTTTCTTCATATAGAAGCTTTAACTTGAAAATTAATAAACGTAAGTTTAAAAACGTTGTTTCAAGATCGACAGATGGTTGTCATCCTGATGCTGAAATGACATCTTCAGTTTCGATAGTTTGTATTACTACTCGTACCTGCACGCCATAGACGCAGTTACCACTTTCTCGCGCTATATTATTTTATCAAAATATTTTACTCTAAATTTTATCAGCAAAAAAAATCTCATAACCTCTTAGAAAACAAGTTTTCGTGACAAATACTGAATCAGCATTTGTTACGCTAGCAATGACAGTCGTTAAGAGTCGAATGACCTTGAAGAGTGTAAGCGTAGATACGACAGATTATTCTATGATCTGCGCAGGTCTGACCGCATATGAGTGACATCTGTTGGTGTCGTAAAGAATTATTTAGAACAACACACACAATTGACGATCGTATTGCGTGATGGCGTGTTTCATTTGTCACTGAACGTGTTAAAGTTTATAAAACTTGATTTTTAAAATGTGAAATACTGACAAGAAGATGGAAAAGAATGGAAAAATCAAACATGTGTTTTAGTTCCTGAAGCGTCGCCACGGGACGTCCGTTGCACGGCCTTATCATCTGACAAGCTACAAGTCAGCTGGCAGCCTCCTCCGGAATCTCTTGTTCATGGTGTGATCCAGGGGTACCGACTTCTGTATGAACCGGTACCCTCGCCTCGGCTCACATCGGATGGACGCGGTGTGTTTAATCCTTCATTTTATGATTGCTGTTTTCGAAGTTAATAAAATAATCTGTTTAAAATACTTTAGAGTAGTGAGGTTATGTCATAAATGAAAAAAATGATTAATTTAATGACGAGGAAGATGGTGATGGTGATATTATTCTAACGCAGATATCTTGGGGCCACAGACAAAGATGACGAAGGCCCTAACAGCTGTTCTTCATGACCTGCTTAAATTTACAAACTACAGCGTAGAACTACTTGCATTTACGCGAGTTGGTGACGGAGTAAAATCACGTCGAATTTTCTGCAGAACAAAGGAAGATGGTAAGTATTATCGGTTGTGACGAAACCTGACGCCAAAATTGAAGGTTCAATTGTTTTAAGTGTTTGCACCTCGTGGCTTGGTGTCGTAACGTATTCCTCACACCTACAGCTTTTGTTTTGATTTCATGGATGTTGGATGCAGTGCCTGATGCCCCCGGAGGGATCAAAGTGCTCCTTGAGACCCCAGACACAGCTCTACTAACATGGCTGCCACCCTCAAATCCAAATGGCGTCGTAGTCCAGTACAATGTTTACGTGCGTGTCTTGGAAGGCACAGTCCAGCTGGACACTCGGACGATCCCGTATTACTCAACATCGCAGCTTCAGTATCAACTTCCGGGTCTCAAGCGACGTCAGATTTATGAGTTCTGGGTAACTGCGTCTACTAGAGTTGGGGAAGGAACGAGTACTCCGGTCGCGAGACTCACGGCATCGGCGAAAGGTAGGTTCGTCGCGTGTTCTCGTAATTTTTATCCTACGAGTTGCGGGTCCCTAGTCAATTAGCGGTTATTTCCTATTTTTTAATTCAATTTTCCCATCTCGTCTGGTACTTCATTTTAATAATATCGATGAAATTTTGTTTCTAACGTTATTTTTTTTATAGTTTCCGCGGGCATCGCATCGTTTGGTGGCTTACGTCACGTGACTTGGAGAAGCGACGCGCGCCTCGAGTGTCGAGCGGTCGGAGTTCCAGAGCCCCAGAGACAGTGGCTCGTGGTCGACACGCCATTCGCTCGCCTGCATCCGAGTCATCAAGCTCGTCTGGCTCTGGCAACTGACGGGGCTCTGTTGCTTAGTTCTGCTCAGCGGAGTGACCAGGGGGACTACACGTGCGTTGTGTCCAATGAGCACGGACGCGACCATATTACGTACCATCTTTTAGTGCAGGGTAATTTGTTTATGATGTCAAGACGTTTGAACACTTTTAGCGCAGTTGTCTAGTTAGGATCAGTTAATATTAGAAATTTCTCTGGAAAACTTGTGCTCTGCCTTCAAAGTAAAGATGATAATACGTGACCCATGTTTGCTTTCCAGTGTTCACCCCAATAAAATATAATTTTTAGTACTTGTGGATTAATGGGACACATCGCTTTAAAAATAGGTTAGGTTAGGTTAGTTGTCATTTATTGAAATAAAATATAATAACTTTCAAGTATATGTCATTTATCCACACACATTAACCTAACCTAAGTAAACTAATGTAACCTAACCTAACCTAACCTAAACTAATGTAACCTATACTAAACTAACGTAACCTAAACTAACCTAAACTAATCTAACCTAACATTTTCATCTTCATTAGATGCTGTAACGCCCTTATTATTAGAGCTTGTTTTTGCCATGTCTGATAATTTACGACAAATTTCTTCTGTGTAACCTAAACTAATGTAACCTATCCTAAACTAACGTAACCTAAACTAACCTTAACCTAAACTAACCTAACCTGAACCTAACCTAAACCTAACTTAAACTAATCTAACCTAAACCTAAACTAACCTAACTTAACCTATTTTTAAAGCGATGTGTCCCGATAACCCACAAGTACCTAACTTTTTTTCAGTTTCTCCCGCCGCCCCTCTGCTGATCGCGACAGGAAGTACGCAACACTCGCTCCAGCTACAGTGGAAGTTAGGCGATGATGGCGGCAGTCCGGTGCGAGGCTACGTGATCCATTACAAGCTGGAGCACGGCGAATGGGAAGAGACGCACGTCGACGGCAATCGAAATACTTTCGCGCTGAGCAGCCTGCGCTGTGGAACGGCGTATCACATCTTTATCACCGCGTACAATGACGTAGGCAGCGGAGCACCGAGTCTTACCCTGACCGCGCGTACTCGAGGCGGAATCCCTGCGATTCCACCGCCAGGCGATCTTCTCGTCGTGAACTCTACTGCGGCGCTGCTCCGTCTCGATAACTGGCCGGACTCTGGCTGCTCTATGCTGTACTACGTCGTGGAGTACATGACCCAAAAGGGGTCAGGACCCTCGGGACAAGCGAAAGACTGGGTTGTTGGTAAGTTAAAAGTTTGGTTCCATAAAGAGCGAGGAATTCTTTTAAGTAGAAGTTGGTCGAATGACGTAGAATAAGTTAAAATTAAGTTTTTTTTTAAGTAATTGAACTTTTGTTTCTCTAGTGGGGAACAACATTGTTCCGGGAAAGGTTTTCAGCTTGGTCGATCTCAGTCCGGGATCGCAGTACAGGTTGCGAGTGACGGCTCACAACGCCGCTGGGTCCAATGTCGCGAATTATCGATTTACGACAGTCACGGCTATCGGAGGTGAGTCTTCCTACGTGAAATTCGTGCAAACTTAAAAAAAAAGAATTTTATTTTATTTTTAATTTTTTTATTTATTTTTTATTTTGGGGGGGTTATATATATTACTGGAACGTCTTCCATTGCCCGCTAACAGCTCGTCTTTGCCCGCTGTCCTACGTGGGCGATTAAATGCGAGTCGCTGCACTGACCAGTAGGGCGCATGCGCAACAAAGCTTGACCGTGCAGTAGACGGAAGGCGCGTGCGCAGGAACGCCGTGTGATTCTATTGCGGTCTCTCGCGCAGGACACAAGCGATTCCCCGCTTCACATGACACGCAGCGCGCTTGTTATCGCTTACGTAGGACATTGCGTAAAGGATCGATTTGCGTCTTCACAGAAGTGGCAAAGTTCTGATTCTTTTGGACGTAGGACGTCGGAAAATGACGCCATTACAAGAATTTGTAGGTCGACACTTTGATTTTTCTGTCGTTGCAGGAACAGCCGGACCGAGTCTCGTGATGATGGAGACCGAGACGGAGCTGAAGGCGCCGCTTCATAAAGACATGAAGTTGATAATCCTGGCCGTGTGCTCGGCCGTGGCGCTGTGCCTCAGCCTGCTAGGTCTTTGCTTTTGTTTGAAGAGAAGTAAGTCTGTAACGATGAAGTTCTAGGTTTTGGCGACAGGTGGACCCACGCGTCTTCTGACAGACTACGCGGCGCATCAATTGAAATGCAAATGGAAGTTACTAAAATACTGTTTTTTTTAATAAAGTATCTGTTAATTATTGAGTAATTAAATAATTTATAAAATTTTGTTTTTAAAAAATATTATTTTTTTAATTAAATTTAAAGTTAAATCGTATTTCAGAATCGGGCTCAAATAGGACCTCCCCTTGCCCCAGTCTTCAAGATGTGCAGACGAGCGCCACGCAGGACAACAAACACAACTTGGCTCGTAGGGAACAATACTACGCCACTGTCCGCAAATTGCCGCCTTCCCCAGCAACTCTGGAGTGCATCCCAGGTACAGGTCGAACTTCCGGTTTTGTGAAAGAATGTTTTGGTGGGCGTGTCTCGTTCTTATCGTTTTTTTTTTTTAATATAGCGCGGAATGTGGTTTAAATCTTCAAGCGTAGTTGAAGATGAGAATGTCTCCGTTACTTTACGTAAAAAAAAATGTTCGCGTAATACGTTACAGAAAATTATTCCATTTTTCTGTAGAATATTCAGAGGATATTCGACCTTACGCTACATTCCATGTCCCAGGACCACCAAATTCTGAGACTACAAAGTTGCAGACGTTTGTGTATAGAGACAGTGACGCTTCTCCGACGAGAAAGGTATTAAAATTACTTAATTTCTTTTGTCTTTGGTTAAGCTGCGGTTTTATTATTTGTTGATAGCAGGAACTAAGTTATTTTTATTTTCAGTCCGTCGGAAAAAGCGACTACTGCCGGGTGAAAAGACCTCGACCTGGCGAAGAGTACGACAGTTTCGGTTCCGAATCCGACACAGAACCTGGAACGTCAAGTCGTACAGAATCATCAAACCAGTTGGATGACGGAGGAAATCAGGGTGAATTGAACCGTCCGTATCACCCGGCGATCTCCAGGTTGCCAAAATCCATGGTCGACTCGACGTACCCCGGTTCAGACTGGAGTCCTCCTCCTGAAGCCGTGTTTCAGCGACGATATTGCCAGGCTCATCTATTGAAGTGATCCTGTTCCACTTGAAGACCGACTCTCCATCGGTCAGAAGCCGCGAAATGATAAAAGTGTGTTCAGTCTTAACATTTATTTTTATTTATTTATTTATTTATATAGTTCGTCATTTGAATGATGTGGATTTTTTTTTTCCAGGGTCAATACAGTCGAAATGTAACGAGTATCTGAATGTCGAGGGCACTGACATCTATGAACATCTGGTTGATTTAAGTACTGTTGTGTTGTTGGTTCGTGAAGAAGCCGGTGGAGCGCTGCGTTACGAAACTCGCGTAACGCAGACGAAGTTTTGACGTTCGTATTTTCCTTAGCCTGTCAGTATAAAGTTTTTGAATAATTTTTGTTACAATTTTTATTTTCACTTAAAATTATTCGCTCCCATCGTCTGTTCTTTAAAAAATCACGACGTTTCGGAGGCTGGCTCTATCTAAGGGAAGTTAGGTACGTCTCACATGAAGACGGAGACAGAACCAGTCTCTGAAACGTCGTGATTTTAAGAAACAGACGATGGAAAAAGTCCTGAAAGGCCCAGCTGATAAGAAGAAACCCTACTTTTCTGCCCGTAGTAAGAACAGTTGCAGCCTTTTACAGTACGGAGAGACGTAATTTGAAAAAAAACTTCTCAAGATGAATATATTTTCTAAACGTAATGTGATGTGAGCCAGGCGGATATATCCAGAATAAAAATTCATTTTCACGTCAAAGATGATTTGAATAAGAAGATAAAATGTGATACAATTTTTTTTATATATATATATATACAGTGCCATAGATCTTACAAGATAATTACGCCGAGATTAATATTGAATACATTTAATCTTCGAATATATTTAATACGTGAATTGATATCTCTTAACGATGTCACAAGGCGTTAAAGTACGTACATTTGTAATATTTAACCTTTTTTGAGGTCTAATGTGAAAGGTTACGAGTAATTATTGTCCGGTCGGTATTAATTTTAACATATTTAATATTAATTAATTACTGTAGCTCAGTGTTGTGAAAAATTCGTATATTTGGTGGTTTATTTAAAAATAAATATAATTTTTTAATTTAAAGGTGACTTTAAATTTATTATTTCTTGTAGACTCTATGGTACTGTAACGTAATTATTTCCCGAGTATTTGATTACAATTGCTTTAAAAAAATTGTTATTGTTAATATTTTAAAAAAAAACTTCCCACGTATTACCTATATATTAAAAAATATTCTAGCGATGTTAATATATCAATTTCTGACAACTGTTTTTCACGTAATGTTATTGACATTTTCTGTATTGTTGACATTTTCGTGTTTCCAGGTTTTTGGTAGAACCGAACTTTTGCTAAAGTCGTATAAGTTGGCCACGATCGTAATTGTTTTGACTTAAGTTGTCGGTGGAACAAATGAAACCTGACAAATCAAATGGCATGTGACTTTTAAGTACAAGGTCTGAGGGCTATTGTTATTTATATTTTCTGAAATAAATTTGCAGTTTAAATCAAATGAGACTTAATCATCTTTACCGGTTTCTAACGTATAAAATACAATGAAAAATCCACGAGGTCGATTTTTTTTAAAAAAAAAATTAATTCAACAGCACGTAATTCCGAGAATATTTAGGACTCTAACGCACCAAAATCCATTCCTTAATGTCTTCAAAATAACATAAACTGTTTTTCTCTGAGTTTAATGTGCCTTTGAAATTTATTTAAATTATTTTGTGTACGTGTAAAAGTGGTCACCTATCTGACAGAATTTAAGTGAAAACTCTCTCCCGTCTTAAAGAGTTAAAACAATTATTTCGCTATTCAAGAAATTCCTTTCCTTTATGCAACCCTGACATTCACTGCCACTTTCACGAGAGCGTTACGATGGTTTCAGAAGTCCTTGCTGCCTCAATCATCAGACTACACAACGCTACAACCCCCAGAAGACAGCCATCTTTGTACTCACAGATCCAACCACTTTAATATTATACTGCCATCTGTCCCATCTACACCTGGGTCTTTGAAATTTCGTGTTTTCTTCAGTTCTTCTAACTAAACTTGTATATGAACCTTTAATCTTTTTTAAATGTGCCCATATCCTCGGTTTAATTACCCTAATAATATTTAGTGATAAGTACAAAATATAAACTTCTCATTCGTTAATTTTATCCATTCTGCAACTTCAATTCATCCTATTCTCCTAAACCCTCATTCTTTAGAATAGAACAGGACAGAATAAAATGTATTTACATTCCATTTTCCTTTCATATAAACCAATAGGTAAAACTATAATTTTATATCTACAGTTTATATTATTTCCAATAATGATTTTAATATAATTCAAAATCGTTTTTCGTTCATGTCTTCAATTGATCGTGAACACTACACAAACAGAGTTTTATGAGATTTACGTAATAACAGACGCGGATTAATATTTAGAATCCATGCCCCCAAAAAGCTACACGGCCATAGTAAGAAGGTAAATTTACCTACTTCGTCAGTGTAATAAGGAAATTTAAGTTCGACGTGTTTCTTTTCGTTACGCGTCAGTCAAATGTTTCTGCCGTCTTCAAGAAGGCGGTGTGTTCATTGTTGGTCATTATTTTGGTAAGCGATCTTATGTAGCAGTTACACAGGCACGTGAGGTTAGTTTCTCCTGGTACTGCTCTACAAACAAGTTAACCTTTTCTCGAATGTTCCTCGTTCTCACAAATCTGGGTTCATAAATGATAAACAGCTGGGAATTTATGGCATGTTGAAACGGATCGAGTTATAATCTGCAACAGCGCAGGGGTCGAGTGGACTGTGATGTAACCAGAGTGTGTAATTATTGATCTGATATGTATTATAAACATGATATTCAGCTTTGCGTTGCGTAATTATCTATATTACTGAGAAATTTGATGCTGTAATCATTTTCATAGAAACCCCTTTGTTTGTGTATCAGTAAAAATCTTCCGCGAAGATGGCAGTGACATCCATGAACTCGGGTTTTATCCTTTCATCCTCCTCTGTATTGAAAGGTTATTTTTTTTTTTGTTGTACCAGGAAATTGATAACTCGCACGGAAATGGATTTCCCCAGAGGAAAACTTCTCTCTTATCGTGGGGAAAGAAACTTGAACGTGTTGTGTCGTTTGAAAGTACGTCAGAGAAGGAGGTAAATAATTCATGTTATTTGAGCTTGGCTTCAATTGACCTTGTTCGGACGTTGTCACGTTCACGAATAAATCAATCAATTGTAGAATAAAGTTCACTGATCACCTCCTTACCGTGTCCCACCTCCTCAAAGTATGTTCCTAATCACGAAAACGCCAAAAAAAATGCTTTGTCAAGCCATTAGTTTTATCTGCAACGTCATCATTACTCGGATAATCTACTTGTTTACTATTATCGATGTCATCAATACTGTTCGATAAATCGACTCATTCGCTATTATCTGCATTTGTTTTTTTTAAAAAAAAACGAGTCCACTTTTGGTAAATTTGATTTTACAAATCTGAGGAAGTTTTTCTGAAGCAACAGTTTTTTTTTTTTTGCGATGTAACAATCGAAAATTTCAAAAGAACTGAATTGGTCGTTATTATGGCGGGACCTAAGCAGAATACGTTAAAACGGTGTTATTGTATATTCGTATTAAATCACGTGACAACTCGTATCACGCGTCAGCGAAATTCTTCGCGGAGAACGGTGAAAGTTTCGTCTTAGCCCCTCCCCGTCTCTTACTACTGCCTTCGGCCTACTTTCAGCCGAGTGTCAGTTGTTGTCCGCCAGTTTCAGCGATCAGACGTCTAACAACATGACTTCTGTGGTTTTGACACGTTGCGACCCTGCACAGGTACGTCATTAATTGCTTTTTAAGGCGTTTGTCACTTCCAGTAGCGATAATTTATCATTAATTTTCGACTAACCATTAATAAAAAGTGAGTTACATGTTTATAATTCTTATCTCGTAGAGAAATTCTATAATAATCTTTCGGTTTATGTCATCTAGACAATATTTGAACTTTCATCACGTCTACGCATGCGCAACACGTTTAATATTCACATATGCCGCGTCTATTTCGCTCGTCAGTCCGTTATTTTTGGCACAGGAATAATCGATTAGTTCCGGTCGAACGTCAGAAGGAAAACGTTTCTATAGCACTAACTTCTAGCCCAACGCATCTTGCGTTGTTAATGAAATATTAATCCGCTTCTAAACCCGTTTAATGGTCACGCATCGTGAACTCGTTCGTGAATGGTCATCGAATCGAGTACTGAGCTAGTCAAATCTGTGTTGTATTATTGGTTATGTTGGTAGAGTAATATCACGGCCTAGTATATTCTCTGTTTTTAAATACTTCATTAGATTTCTTAAACAATTCATAGCGTTACTTTTTGTCATTGTTAGCTTATAAACAATATTTCATGCAACGTGGTATAAACTGAATCGTGTTTGTAGTACAGATATGTTAAGAATTGTTTTCTAGAACATTCATTGTGACGTTGCGATGACTTGGTTCAAGGCACTGCAAATTTGAAAGTCATTCCGTCCGACAAGTGGCGTGTTACGAAATGGAACACTTGAAGGTTACGACCGTGTCTTTCATCTGCAATTATATTCTTTACGTATGACATTGTTTGTGTGACCCCGCTGAAAAGGTCTCAACATAATCAGCCGTGAGAGTTTGCGTACTGATAACAATTCACTGGCATAAGAAACTTTTCATTTTTCACAAACGTCATTTAATGAACACTTGTGTTTATGAATTGAAGATAATAGCTTATTCAGTTCGTAAATGGTAGAGAAACTTACAAATAAATTGTTTCGTGATGCTAGAAAGAGTGGGCAGCGTTCATGAATCGTTTTCAAATGTGAATTGAAAGACAAGCTTTCGCCATTATTGAGGAACATTATAGCAAAGTTACTTCTTGAAAATAACGTCCGTCAGATATGACACTTTCCATCACTAGCAGTAACATGGCATTAATTTCTTCATAAACTGGGCAACAGTTGAAAACTATTTCATCATCTTCACTCACCGAAGAATAAAATGTCACTTAATCTGTTACGCTCATTTTAAGAAATCGCTAGATAAGATATGAACGTATTATAACGTTTATACGAAGGCAGTGATTACTGACTGTGACATTGGATCAAACATTATTACCAAATTTCATTAATTTCCATCCAGCTACTCTCTAATAAATAAATAGATTATTTCTAGATTGTTGTCTTTAGGAAGTTTGACATCGTTTCAGAGGTCGTTACTGCCTCCATCATCAGGGCGACCTCTGAAACGTTGGTAAAATTCTACCAGACTACACGGCGCTACAACCCATAAGACAGCCATATTCGTATTCACAGCGCGAGAACCTCAAATCTAACAAAGGCTAGAAGTGGAGAGAGAGAGTTTGCAGTAGTAACATGTAGCTTAATATCTATGCCAAATTTAATAAATCTTCGACCATCCACTCTGTAGTTATGTGTGTGTACGAACGCTTGTAACTTGTGAATAGGTTAGGTTATGTGTGGTCAGGTTTAGTGATGCAGTTGCACACATGGTCATATCATATTTCCACCTCACTTCTTCAAGCAAATCTGTCGTTGATATTGCGGAGTGTAGACAATATAGCCTGATACGAATATTGGCTCCAGAAATGCTTGTATAATAAGCCAGTTTATATTTGACGCAATTTTAAATACAATTTCTCATACGCTGTCAAGAGCAATAACTCGAATTCATGAAAATGAATACACAGTGCAAATTAGCGACTTATTCTTGAACTGAAACTCATCTACACACTTCTATTGCGTAGTGTGAATAATAATGTCATTAAGAATCAACTTTTAAATTGCCCTCCCGAACCATAGCCTTTACGTAATACTTGTATCAGATAATGACTGCAATCAATATAACCAAGACATCAAAGGTAGCAACTACGTAGGCTCATTATATTCCAGATTATTTGGATTACGTAACACTGTGAGTACCGTAATTTTTTATTGTTTACTTGCGTTTCGTAATTCGAAGTAATGGTAACATATTTGATTAGCCATTATTTGGTAATATAGTAATATTACGAAGGTGTGTTCTTGACAATCCATTGAAATTTATTTGTGATTCCAGGACACGAAGGGCGGCGGATTTTAATGATGCATAATTTAAATGCTGTCATTTAGATTCTGCAGTTCTGATTATATCTGTAGTTATACATTTAAGCTATTTTAAAGGCAGTTTCTGGGATTAGTTTCTCTGACATCGAAGAGGTTATGTTGTTCGTATTTTAAAGTACGTCTGCTGCCTTAAAATCCAAATTTGCAGAGAAAACATACTTCTGGAGTAAACTTTAATAACACCATGTCGATTTAGCTTTAATGGTTATACATTGGAGAAATGCTAGTGAATATGTTGGCATATTGTAGTCAGACAAAACATAACCAATTTCCTATGTAATTTGGAACAGCTATATTGGTTCTATACCAGAGGTGGTATTTTCCAATTTGTTAACACATTGAAGATTTAAATTTTTGAAGATAGTGTTGAGCCTTCACATTAATAAATTTATATACTTGTATGGCAGTGAAAAGTTTTTATACATTGGCATTTTAGACAAGCAGTTTTACTTTTATTTTGCAGTTGGCTCGTCAGAGCAGGAAGTTGCTGTCTCATCTGAATTCCTCTCAGCTGAACATATCGTCCTTTCACAAAGGTAAATGTTTCAATATATCATCTAAACATAATTTATAACTCTTCAGTGATGGAATACTAACTGCTTTCTGTGCGAAGAGACTGGCATGATTTCAATTTTCCAAGATCCAGGGTGTGTTTCAAAGAGACTTTCATTTGTTGGTTTTCTGAGGATTTATGTGCATCATTGTAATTAAAATTATTTTTGAGGGACAAGAGATATAGAACTACTGCATTAAATTAACAGAAATTTTTTTTCCTGTGCTTAGTATTCTGTCTTGAATGTGTACATAGAAGGTTAGGTGACTGCATTATGAGGCAGAAACCAGTGTGCATGCTAGATTATTTGGCACTCATGTACAGTAATATGGGTGTGCCCCAGAGCCATTCTGCGTGTGGCAGCGAATAGGAAACTGCTAATGTCCTCTGGAATGACCTCTGGCTGTCCATTCCATAACCAGTCGCTTAATGAATTAGCTTTCATGATCTGGTTGAGGAAATAGCAGGGAATTATTTCATATTGAACTTTTTAAGACATTTTCTATAAATGTCTTACAAATTATAGACTTTACATTTAAATAATTAGTAACTACTTTATATTAATGAAGCCCAGAAGTATAAACACCATTAATAAGAGACTTAAAGCCTGAGCTTCAGTAGACTTTGTGGTTTGTTTCAAAATAGTAGATTATATAGTTTTGAGTGTTATGAATCTTGCCTTGAATCCATTTTTTTTATTGTAAAATATTTCTGCTATGATATTTATTAATAAACAGTGAAAATTTGACAAATTTAAAGTGTTTTCAGTGGTAAATAAATAAGTACATTACTCTTCTGCAAGTGGAAGAGTGGTCATTAAACATTTTAAATTTTCTTCAAATCTATTCATGAAATTTGCTGTTAGTAATTATTTTGTGTGTGGTTCTGAAGTTACAGACTGCGGCCAGTAATGGTTACATTTCCCCAAAATTTTGTTGTTTATTTTTGTGCCGAGTCAAAGAATTAGTAACCTCCAGCCGTAAGACTACCAGAGTATTGAGCTCTATGTCCGTACCAACACCAGCACCACTTACGTTGCACAGTAATTGCCTTTAATTAATTGTTACGTTTCACAGATCTGTTTCTCGATAACCCAGACACGATGCCGTGCCCATTTATGACGCGTTTATCGCCCTCCTACGTTCGAAACTACGGAGGCAACTTGCTGAAAACTTACGGACAACATTGTCCCTTCATGTCTCGGCTTACTGGCACCCTCACTTCTGCCAACTCTTGCGACGAAGGTAAGGATGGACCTTCCGGATGTTTTGTGTTTCATAAAATGCCACCGTGGTACACGGTATTGGAGTGGAGTAAACTTTAATAACACCATGTCGATTTAGCTTTAATGGTTATACATTGGAGAAATGCTAGTGAATATGTTGGCATATTGTAGTCAGACAAAACATAACCAATTTCCTATGTAATTTGGAACAGCTATATTGGTTCTATACCAGAGGTGGTATTTTCCAATTTGTTAACACATTGAAGATTTAAATTTTTGAAGATAGTGTTGAGCCTTCACATTAATAAATTTATATACTTGTATGGCAGTGAAAAGTTTTTATACATTGGCATTTTAGACAAGCAGTTTTACTTTTATTTTGCAGTTGGCTCGTCAGAGCAGGAAGTTGCTGTCTCATCTGAATTCCTCTCAGCTGAACATATCGTCCTTTCACAAAGGTAAATGTTTCAATATATCATCTAAACATAATTTATAACTCTTCAGTGATGGAATACTAACTGCTTTCTGTGCGAAGAGACTGGCATGATTTCAATTTTCCAAGATCCAGGGTGTGTTTCAAAGAGACTTTCATTTGTTGGTTTTCTGAGGATTTATGTGCATCATTGTAATTAAAATTATTTTTGAGGGACAAGAGATATAGAACTACTGCATTAAATTAACAGAAATTTTTTTTCCTGTGCTTAGTATTCTGTCTTGAATGTGTACATAGAAGGTTAGGTGACTGCATTATGAGGCAGAAACCAGTGTGCATGCTAGATTATGTGGCACTCATGTACAGTAATATGGGTGTGCCCCAGAGCCATTCTGCGTGTGGCAGCGAATAGGAAACTGCTAATGTCCTCTGGAATGACCTCTGGCTGTCCATTCCATAACCAGTCGCTTAATGAATTAGCTTTCATGATCTGGTTGAGGAAATAGCAGGGAATTATTTCATATTGAACTTTTTAAGACATTTTCTATAAATGTCTTACAAATTATAGACTTTACATTTAAATAATTAGTAACTACTTTATATTAATGAAGCCCAGAAGTATAAACACCATTAATAAGAGACTTAAAGCCTGAGCTTCAGTAGACTTTGTGGTTTGTTTCAAAATAGTAGATTATATAGTTTTGAGTGTTATGAATCTTGCCTTGAATCCATTTTTTTTATTGTAAAATATTTCTGCTATGATATTTATTAATAAACAGTGAAAATTTGACAAATTTAAAGTGTTTTCAGTGGTAAATAAATAAGTACATTACTCTTCTGCAAGTGGAAGAGTGGTCATTAAACATTTTAAATTTTCTTCAAATCTATTCATGAAATTTGCTGTTAGTAATTATTTTGTGTGTGGTTCTGAAGTTACAGACTGCGGCCAGTAATGGTTACATTTCCCCAAAATTTTGTTGTTTATTTTTGTGCCGAGTCAAAGAATTAGTAACCTCCAGCCGTAAGACTACCAGAGTATTGAGCTCTATGTCCGTACCAACACCAGCACCACTTACGTTGCACAGTAATTGCCTTTAATTAATTGTTACGTTTCACAGATCTGTTTCTCGATAACCCAGACACGATGCCGTGCCCATTTATGACGCGTTTATCGCCCTCCTACGTTCGAAACTACGGAGGCAACTTGCTGAAAACTTACGGACAACATTGTCCCTTCATGTCTCGGCTTACTGGCACCCTCACTTCTGCCAACTCTTGCGACGAAGGTAAGGATGGACCGTGCGGATGTTTTGTGTTTCATAAAATGCCACTGCGGTACACGGTATTGGAGATGGAACGTGTTCGATCACAGACTTCCGTCGTTTTGTGGCCTCTGGTAATATCGTGATGGAACGTGTTCGATCACAGACTTCCATTGTTTTGTGGCCTCTGGTAATATCGGTGTAAGATAATTTCAGTAATTCCAGGGTTTTACTCTGTCACATCTCCAGTAATTCATAGAATTAATAAGTGGGTAAGACTGCATCTTATCTTTGTAGAATAATAAACCAATTTTATTATAAAAATTAATCCTTTGATGATTTATGTATAGAATTTGAAAGGAAACTGATTGACATTTATTTATTTAGACCCCGCGAATACGGTACTTAACAAAGCAGTGGTAAATTCAAATGGATGTGGAACTTAGTTCAACGCGGCTGTCTGACATGTTGTATATACTCTTCTTGCATCTTTAATCTAATTTTACTTTGATCGTGATTTTTTTTTAGCAGCCGTGGAAGCTGTGAAGAAATGCCCGTTCTTGGCGGAGGTGACGCCGTTAGTGAAAGAAGCGAGCAAAGAGATGCAAGATGATATAATTGATTTGACTCCGTCATCTGAAAGCGGTATGAAGTACCTGTTTATAATATGAACGCGGGTGACGGGACGGGACCAGTGCTATCGAATACGATCGGCACGTTCGTAATCTTTGAATCGACTTAGCCCCCGTTTAATAAAATGTACTGCTTACGAAGATTACTCACTTTTTTTTACAGATACGTAATTGGAATACTTATTTGTTCTTGTTGTAGTTTATAAGTCTGCTTTTTTCTTTTTTATGGGCAGCTTGGAAAGCTGAAGAAACTGTCACTACTGCAGAAAATGCACGGGGGCTTTATGAGAATGCAGTAACTCAGTGCCCCATGGACAAGCCTAAAGGTGGTGGACTTCTTTTGTTTCTGCGGACATTTTTTTTTTACCTATGTGCATGACATGTTTCCTTTGAATTTGTCGTTCCATCCTGCGAAGTTGTGTTTGTCTTTCTTCTTTCGTTGGTTGTTTCGTAGTTTGAACGTAATTACTTAGGTTAATTCTGCTTCACGTCGATAGCAACGTGCGTAAAACTTGGTTCAACCATTTTCCACTTTTCTTCCCTGAAATGCCCCATTTCTCATCGCCCGACTCAGATTTTTTTTTTTTTTTGCGTTCGGTATCCGTTGTTTTCGGCTCAGTGATTTGTAACTTTTCCTGATTTCTGTTATATAATGAAGACATTAAGAACACGTGATCTGTACAGTTAGAAATTAAAATTGCTTAACGTAAATGACATTATCTTTGAAAATAATTTTGAATTAAAATTATCAGGTTAATAGAAATTTCGACACGCATCTCAGGCTGTACAGTGCATTTATTAATTACTTTGTAATATAAATTCAAGGCCTTCTAAATCTGTTCTGTCTCATTTAAATAAACAAATGACTCAGCAGAGAGGATATAAAACAATGTTCATTTATTGATGGAAAATGTGTACAGTAAGATTATAAGTACGTAAGAGTAATAAATAAATATTTTGCTGAAGAAATACTCTTGTGTTTATAGATCGCCTGCTATCTATTTCTGTTCGTAAATGCATGTAACACGTGGTAAAGCTTGCGTTATGACAGCTAGGACCATTTTTCTATAAGCAGACGTGAATGGAATGCATGTGGATGCTGTGTGTTTTTTGATACAGATTATACTTTTTTGGTCGCGTTCCTTTATTCTCTCACTGTTACGTGGTGTGGTTTTAATCGCTGTTTCAGGTGAAACTTTCCCTTATGAGCAGTTTTTCCATGAGCAAATAATGCGAAAGAAGAAGGACCATTCGTATCGAGTGTTCAAGAAAGTAAATCGCTTGGCTGCGGAGTTTCCTGGGGCTTACGAATACAGCTGGGGTGAACGACCTATTACGGTGTGGTGCTCCAATGATTATTTGGGGATGTCGCGTCATCCTGAAGTGAAGGAGGCTGTCAGGCGAGATGCTGTTCCTAATTTTATTTATATCTGAGTTATTTAGTTACTTCCAGTACCATAAAAGAAATTGAATCTGAGTTATTTAGTTACTTCCAGTACAATAAAATAAATTGTTACCGATGTTAACATTGTAACCCATAGGTTGATTTTTTTATTTCATGGATTTCTACTTCAGAATGGATATTTATTAGGTAATTATGATCCAAAAATAAGGTATTCAGATCAGTTTCTTTAATGTGATTAAAATGGCAGGTTTTATACATTTTTTTCACAGATTGTAGTCTTATAAAAACATCATGTCGCCAGATTTTTCTGTTAAGAGTCCGCCGTGTATAACCACAGAATTTTTACACATGTATCACTGAACTTTCTGTTGTACCGATTTCTTTGTGTAAGAACTCCGGCCAGTCGAAATCTACCGAAAGGCACGGCTAGCACATGCCATTTCAGTAAAATGTTGGTTCTTCGCCTGTGATCCGGCACTTTTTTAGACAGAAAAAGAAATTTGGTTTCTGTGGTTTTAGTAAATTAATTTTGGTAAATGTGACAGTTTTCTAAGGCAAGAAACCTTATGTCATATTTATGTTTCAAGGTCACCGTGCCGTCTTATTATTTTAGATACTTATATGTGGTGTGACATGAACGTTTGTAACTCGGTCGTCGTCTTGAAATGAACTATAATTTTGCAATGACCTGACTGACCTTCACCAGTTACCATTGTTTGTGGTACACAACATTTTATATAATGTTGTGAGCGAGAAATTTTGCGAGTGTTAATCATCTCATGATATGCACACGATATAAACCAGAAATGTCGTATGAATATTTATCGCGTAGTTTTGGATGATTAACGCGTTCACTGTCGTGCTACCCATCGTGAAATTAAATGATCTGTGCCAGTTATTTTTCGGCGTTCGGATGCGTGTGACGTTTGTACAAAAAATCTAAATATCGTACAAACCGCTTGAAGTAATTGCATGGCGTTTTCAGGTCACCTTTAATATTGTTTAAGTGTGTTTTGCTTTTCACACTGTACATCAGTCAGCTTTATACACGTGAGGGAGCCACGTGTTTACAGAGGAACAGGAAGTTATTTTGCGAGAATGTCATTTGTTAATACGTAAAGATCAGTGCATCGAAGCTTCCGTCATCACCTGTGAAAATTTGATTGCTTTTAAATGACATCTTTAGGAGATAAGAGCAGATACTGTATATCAACACTGAAATGTCCTTCGATGTTTTTGGCACTGGTGGCGTGAAATAATAAAAATGTTGTTTTATGTTTTTGGTAGTGAATGTGTTTCTCTTACTCATAAGCAGGATTTGAAGTTTTCATGTACGGAACGGAAAAGAACTATAGTTCCTTGTAAGAGAACTGACTAGTATATCTTAACTTTCAGTGTAAATGTTACAACAAGTAAGATGAAACAATGTCAATTATTTCAGACAAGCACTGGAAGTGTACGGTGCAGGTGCCGGAGGTACGAGGAATATATCAGGAAACTCGTTGAACCACGAGCTGTTGGAGGTGGAGCTTGCGTCTCTCCACCAGAAAGACTCGGCATTGCTGTTTACTTCCTGTTTTGTAGCTAATGATTCCACTCTCTACACCCTCGCAAAGGCCCTTCCAGGTGCGTGCCTTCCGTACAATCGAGTGACTTAATCTGTTTTGTAAGTCAAAGGCCCTTCCAGGTGCGTGCCTTCCTTACGAGCGAGTGACTTAATCTGTTTTGTAAGCGATTCAACGCCGTTATTATGTCGGTCTGCACACGCGTTCACACAGGCTGATTGACATGATTTAATGTATAGTGTATTAACAGATTATGCGATGTAGTGGTTTGTGATGTGTTTTTTTATTTATTTTAAACGTTTCAAAATGTCAGACAACACGAGAGTAATCTTACATATACCACATGGTGTAGAAGTTTTCAGTAAAAAGACTGTGTTTAATTTACTAGATATTGTACTTGTAAGTAGTAGTACATTTTTAAAATAAGAGTATTTAGAATTTTATACAATATAACCTTGGTAAAACAAATAATAATGTTTGGAAAATTCCTGAACAAAAATATCTGCAGAGTAGGCCTGAAAATGGTTGGAGTACGTAACCCTTCTCTTCCATGTTGCTAGGTTGCCATATCTTCTCAGATGCTGGGAACCACGCGTCCATGATTCAAGGAATCCGCAACAGCAGGGTTCCGAAGCATATATTTCGTCACAACGACGTAGACCATCTAGCTGAGCTTCTGTCTAAAGTGTCTTCCAACGTACCTAAGATAGTGGCGTTCGAAACAGTGCATTCCATGACAGGTGCAGTGTGTCCGCTGGAAGAAATGTGTGCCGTGGCTCATGAACACGGGGCACTCACATTTGTTGACGAAGTTCATGCCGTAGGCTTGTACGGTGAGCACGGAGCAGGCATTGGTGAGCGGGACGGACAGTTGGAGAACATGGATATAATATCTGGTACTTTGGGTAAGTACGGGAGTAAAATATATTTGTACCGTCCAGGTGAAGTTCTGTTGGTAGAACTTGTGTATGCATGTTTTCCTCCGGGGGCTTCCCCGGTTTCTCCGTGGCGTCCCATTCACACACAGAAGAAGGCAATGGCAAACCACTTCTGGATCATCTGCCAGGTCCCAGTCCAAGAAAAGGATGGAAGGATCCCGTTCATATGGACCTGTCGTCAGACAGAAAAAAAAAAAAAAAAAAAAAAAGATAACGTTAAAACTGAGACAGGTTTGTAAACGCAGAAGAGAAGAAAATGGGGCAAATTATTCTGTTCATCAGAAACTTTAAAGCATTTTTTACCTACAAAGGGAACTTACAGGTGGTCGACTTCATCGAAGCATTATATTGTGGAATAAAGAAGTGTATTGTATTGTATTTACTACTTTACGCGCTCGTTAGTAACTAGGAATATTCATCTGTTTCATCTCGCAAACAGAGTCTTTGCAGACCACGTCGTATCAGTTTCCCGTCAGTTCCGATCCTTGAATAACTGCGTAGACTTTACATACTTCTGAAGAACGCTATAAAAATCTTTCAGAACTCAAATTCCCCGTGCAAAAGAGTTATTAATACCCGCTTGCTTTCCGTCAAGTTCAAGCTCTTAGTCACTTGTTCTGAACCATCAGATATTTTAATCCATTATTTTATTGTACCAACTTTGTTTCAGGCAAAGCATTTGGTAACGTAGGTGGCTACATTGCTAGTACTTCATATTTGGTGGACATGATCCGAAGCTATGCGGCGGGTTTTATTTTCACGACGTCTTTACCACCGACTGTGCTTGCCGGAGCGTTGAAAGCTATTCAGATTCTGCGCTCAAAAGAGGGACAGTCTCTGCGAAAAAAGCATCAACAAAATGTGATTTATTTACGTCAGCTACTTCTAGATAAGGGTTTACCTGTGGAACTCACTCCCTCACACATCATTCCAATAAAGGTAAGTAAAAGGGAAAGATTAATGTATTTATTGAATTTATTTATTCAAATAACTTTAATTAATAAGAAAATAAAAGTGGAATTTATATAAACTTTTAGATTAATGATATTAATTATCATAGTTATTGTTGAGAGGTATTATTTACTTTAAAATTCTGTGCAAAATATAAATGGAGCAATGAAAATACTCGATGACGTGACGTGAGATGAAATTTCTCATCATTCTATCTCATTTTAAGTGTTGTGTATACCTTCGTACTGTGATGAAAATTGAAAAGTTAATATTTATAAATTGTTCAATACTTTGTTTTGTGTCAGATTGGTAATGCTCTTCAGTGTAGTCAGGTTTCTGACATGCTTCTTCAAGAATACGGCCATTACATGCAGGCCATAAACTATCCTACAGTGCCGGTAGGACAAGAGAAATTACGTCTCGCTCCAACTCCGCATCATACGAGACGCATGATAGACAGGCTTGTGTGCGACATGTTGGATATCTGGACGCGCTTGCAGCTTCCTCTCTACAGATGAACGTGCGTGTCGAACAGCACGTTTCATGACGTAGTATGTGATCATATACGCTATTTACATTTCTGTTCTGTAACTTTGTTACTCTGTCTTGGAGCTAACCTGAGGTTGTGTTATGAATATGATTATATAGCATAAAAATATGTCCAAAATATGTTGTTGGTTCACCCTTATCTTGGAATTTCAAATATTGGTGGTCAGGTATGAAAGATATTGGGATAATGTGAATGGCATTACTTTAGCTTAATTCTCAGGCATTTTCATGACCCAAGTATACATTTGAACACGTACTGTATACTGATATTAATTTTTGGTACTTGTGGGTTATTGGGACACATCGCTTTAAAAATAGGTTAGGTTAGTTGTCATTTATTGAAACAAAATATAATAACTTTCAAGTATATGTCATTTATCCACACACATTAACCTAACCTAACCTGAACCTAACCTAAACCTAACCTAAACTAATCTTACCTAACCTTAACCTAAACTAACCTAACCTGAACCTAACCTATTTTTAAAGCGATGTGTCCCGATAACCCACAAGTATCATTTTCTGTTTATAATGTACCAATAATTTTCTCGGATATATTCTGGTGTACATTGAAATTCTTTAAATACATCTTGTTATGGTAAATATTGGTGAATAAATTACTAAGGGTGAGAAGTAATTTTTTGGATAATTAATTAATATCTCCGTTCTGTATATGCTTATCCGTTTGATAATTTAAGTGATCTGAATAAAAAATGGCTTCGCACTGTAGTTATAAGTAAATTCCATTATCTGAATTGTATAATCCACCCTATTACAAAAATATTAAAAATCTTTAAAGACCTTTGTCCAATATTATTTATATAAATTCCTTTTATCACATTTGCTTCAAATAAGATGGTAATTTATATATTTGCAGTCTTTGAGTCTTCCAAATTTAATACATGTAGTGGTTTCTGATTATTCATAACATTATTTCTGTATTTTATAAAATTCCATTGTGAAAATGGATTTCTAGTAATATGTTATTGTTTTATTTCCATATAGCTAACATATGCTATTGTAAATTGATTTAAAGCAACATTTTCTAGTTTTAATGTCACTGTGCATTAAAAAGAAACGAGGGGTAAAGCAGTCTAAAAATAATGGAGATGAAGATGTCCTAAAACAAATTCACTTAATGTCATCCTTCCATGTGCCCAGAATTAATGGCTAAAGCATTATACTGTAGACGAACGTGTCACCGCTACACTGCCGACTCTTGGTTTTGTTATAAGCATCTGGACAGCAGTGAGTGAGTCCTCAAGTATAAAACTTTTGAGTTCTCGTTACTACACCCAAATATTGTGTATTGATGAAGTAAGAAAGTTTATTTATTTGTTTTGCACAAAGTGTTAAAACTGTTTTTATGAACATGTAATTCAGAATTTAGTGAAATGTGTGCTGAACAAGATCTGTTGTGGTCAATGATATCTGCTAGATTTAATCCTGCATGTGGACCAACAAGATGTATTACAGTCAGTTACAGTCATGTACAAAGTGTTATTTTGGTTATTGTTAGTGATTTATGAAGAAAGCAGATTACTTTATACGTAGGACAATAATAATTGTTGCATGGTGGAATCATAACCTGTGTTTTAATTTTACCTAATTTCTTACCTTCCAAAATGATGATGATGGTGGTGGAGGTTATGTTGATAAATGCAGTCAAACTTAGATATACTAACTTTGCATAAAGTGAAAATTCTAACCTTGTGACTTTTACATATATAATAAAATTCTGTGCAGGGTAGACAAATTCGCTTACCTAAATATTACCAGAGACTACACAGTTTTTCATATACAGTCAGTACTAAATTTGTTGCATAGGAAACAATCTAATTTTGTTTATTCTCCTAGCCAACTGGTATGTAACTAATTTGCAGCATGCTCTGCAGTTAATTATTCTTTTGTGCCTTGCAAAGAAAGCATATTGCAACCCACCTTCAATTTTAATCATTTTGAAAAATGAAATAAGCTTATTTCGATGGGAAAAATGATTCAGTTTTGTGTTGAAGAAAATGCATTTATATTTATAGTTTCCAAGAAAACAGACATCCTAATGCAAAGCTACAAAACAAAATGTAATTGAACAGAGTATTTATATATGATACATTGTTAAAGCATAGGTCTTCAAAAAATATCAAAGAAAGCTTCATAGAATATTTCCTGATTACCTAAGGACCAAAGTTATCAGTCTTGTCAGCCTTTCCGGTAAGATGTAAGATGTATGGTTTTTTGAATTCCTGTAAAACGCCATAATAAATGCGTGTAATTTAATACTAATAATGAAACTGCAATTGTAATTCTTGTTTTGTGTGCGTTGAACCGTCATATAGGCAATTTATTTGGTTGATTTTCTGGTTACAAATGGAGAACGTTGGTATTGCCTGTGGTTTGCATTGTGGCCGCTGGAGTGCAGTTTGTATGTTGTCAAGTTGAAGTGCGGATGTTCTGTGAGCAAAGTTGGTATGATGTAAACAGATTTGTCTTCATTCACTAATCGTGCAAGATGTTTAATGGGGTGAATTATTGTGTTGATTTTTGATGTGTCGGGAGGGGCAGTTTGTCTTCAAGAATGGCATTTCATTGTAGCAGATAAGAGGAAATGTACATCGGTTGTTCGTGTACGCAGAGATCATTATGTACGTGATCTTAAAAATGTGGAGTTCAACTCACGTCCATGTGACAGGTATGTACTATTTGTGAATACAATTTATGTGCAGTAGCCTTGACGACATTCGAATCTGTTTTTATTTTAGAATTTTATACATATATAGCAGAAGGCTTGATTTATTCGACTGGAACGCGGACACTGAATTGCGTTTATCCAAACAGGTTAAGGATAGAAAAGTGTTCAAATGAAATGAGCTTTCAGGTTCTCACGACGATAAGTATGCTTTCTGGCATGTTGCGACGTGTAATCTTGTAGATATTGACAGTCCCCTGATGATGGAGGCAGAAAGCTCTTCCGTAACGACGGTCGATTTCTACTAGACTACACCTCGCAATATCCCAGAAGACAGCCAATTTTGTGCACCTTGTGAGAACACCTTGTAGAATGTGTATGTTTGCCAGTATTTTGATTTTCACGAAATTCAGTATGAACATTCAGAGGTGTTCTTCGTGCTGCATCTTGTAAGTCACTGTTTCACTAATGTAGTCAGACCATTTTTGTACCTTAGGCCATTGTTTCGCTCTTGTGATTTATATTGTTGCTTCTTCATTCAATGTTATGCAGCTCTGATCTCTCTCTTACGTTTAAATAAACTTTAAAAAAATATAAATAATGAGTTTAAGAATCTTAATAATGCTTTTGGTTGCATTATTCCACCTTGATTAGTTACTGAAACAATTATATTACGCGTTTATGTATGGATATAGGCCCCCCCCACCCCGCCATGCTAAAAACATTCGCCCCATGTTTCTGTTCGGGATAGAACTTCAGTTTTTGCATTTAATTTCATAGTCAAATGGGTTTCCAGTGACTGGTAGACAAAATGTTATTGTCCTCTTGTGACGTCACCCACGCGTCAAGTCATTTGCCGACACCTGCAACCTCTCGCGGGACTTATATGAACTTTCCTTACCACGAAGACACGCTTCGTTGGATTAATTAGGGCGTATCCTAACCATTAATATGCCCTGTGAGATTTTGGATAAAACACAACACGAACGCTTGGAATTAAAACAAAATTAGGACGAGACGTTTACTCGGGTATTTACAGATGGAGAAAAAAACAAATGAATGGTTAAGTAAAGAGACTGACGTGTGGCTGGTGGCTGCATGCGCCTGCCGAGACACGTCTGTGAGGAAATCAATACAATGTAGCGGGCTCTGTAGCTACGTGTCTTGAATCGCGTGTTGACATCGATGAATCAGCGGGAAAGTTAATGTCGGGAATTATACAGAGAATCAGACGTAGTGGCTTTCAGTTCAAATTCTGTCGGTAAAAGAAAAAAAACCTTGTTGATGTCTAGGTAACAAAATATGTTCTAGCGTGTTGATACGTAAAGTGTCCATACGAAGGAAATGTCTTTGAGATTTATATATAAACTTTGGTCGAGATGAAATTGGCAAAATTATGCCATAAGAATTTTTACGAGTTCTTTTAGAATGTAGCACAGTTTACATTTTAAAGAAAAAAAAACATTAATATACAAATTACCTATATGCTATTTGTTATGTAAATAAATGTGTTTTGACTGGGGAAAAGAGTACAAGTAGGTAATTTCTTCGTAATTTACTGTGGGTATTTAATTATGTAGCCACGGTGGTCTAGCGGTTAGAACGCTGGCCTTGTAATCCTGGGGTCTCGGGTTCGATTCCCGGCGGTGCCCGAATTTTTAACTTGTGTTGGGCAAGGCCGTGGTCTAGGCAACACGGAGTTTTCCTCCGTGGCATCCCAACAATTACTCCATTCACACACAGAAGAAGGCAATGGCAAACCACTTCCGGATCATCTGCCAAGAACGTATATGAACAAGTCCCAGTCCGAGAAAAGGATGGAAGAATCCTGTTCATATGGACCTGTCGTCAGACAGAACACTAAAAATAAAAAATAAAAATAAATCTATTGTGATGAAATGTTTCCTGTACTTCGATTAACGACTGCACGTAGCTGCGTTAAGAGCAGTGGCTGTCTGTAATACAGTAATTAAAAATAATATGATGGTGTCCCGGCGGGGCCCGAATTTTTAACTTGTGTTGGGCAAGGCCGTGGCCTAGGCAACACGGAGTTTTCCTCATTGGCATCCCAACAATTACTCCATTCACACACAGAAGAAGGCAATGGCAAACCCCTTCTGGATCATCTGCCAAGAACGTATATGAACAGGTCCCAGTCCGAGAAAAGGATGGAAGGATCCTGTTCATATGGACCTGTCGTCAGACAGAACACTAAATATAATAAATATTTAATTATATAAACCAATCCCGAGCAATCGTTCACCATATATCAGCTCTAACTTGTTACGAACCGACGTCCTGGAACTTGTTGCTTCTCCAGTGAACCGTCTGTCTATTCTACGCATGCGCCGAGCTGGCGTTTGCCTCTCCGCGTCTCAGTTCGCAGTTCGGCTTCAGTTCTGCGCCGACAATGGCCGAAGACACCACGTGAGGGCAGTTTACCGCGAGCATGGCAGGCCTGCTCAGGAACAGTCTGCTAATATTGGCAGCAGTGGTTGGGGCCGTAGCCCACCCGACAGTGGAGGACGCGCCGATGTGTCCCGAGTCTTGCGCGTGCCGTAGTGACGAGGATCACGTAGTGGGCCGTAGGGCCAAGTCCGTCACGTGCTCTGGCCTCGGTCAGGTAGAACTCTTACAAGTGTCTCAGATGAGTTCTGCCACCGTCGAGGTACTCCGGATGTCGAACACTAGTGTTCGTCGGGTGGATTTCTTCGCTTTTAGACGATTGCCGGGGCTCGTGTTCCTCGATTTAAATAGTAACGTTATCAACGAAATTGCTGGAACCGGTAAGACACTGCCCAAACTACGGACATTAGATCTCAGCGGGAACAATCTTCATATTATACAACCGTATACGTTCCGAGATTTTCCTCAGCTTACAAGTTTGAATCTCTCGGGAAATGGTCTGCACACCATATCGCCATCTTGCTTTCTAGTGCCGACACTCAGGGTCCTTGATCTACGTCACAACAGGCTCTCGACACTGAAGCCACATTTCTTTGCACACACTCCGAATTTGCGAGAAGTGTACCTGGCAGGTAATTCGCTGTCACGAGTTCCCAGTTTCGTCTTTGAGCACAATCTCCACGTACTTGATCTCTCGAACAATCACGTCATTCGACTCGAAGACAGCGCGTTTGACGGCGTCAACATCTCCGGTCAGTTGAACCTCGCACAGAACTCGCTACGTGCCATGCCGAACACCGCCCTTAAACGCCTCGGCTACGTTCATAAATTGGTGTTGGACGCCAACTCGTTCCGTGTTCTTGGAACCAGCTCTCTGGTTAACGTGGCGGTGACATCTCTCAGTATCTCAAACCACAGACATCTTCATTTGATTCACCGAGAAGCTTTTGTGAATCTGATCGACTTGGAAGAGTTACTAATTCGTGGAAATCAAGCACTGACATACGTGCATCCTAAATGTTTGGTAAATTCACCAAAATTGAAGATCTTAGATCTTTCTAATAATAACCTCGTCACCTTGGAACAGGAGCTGATAAAAAACACCCCAGAAGTAACTGAACTTCGCGTCGACAACAACAACTTCATCTGTCATTGTAGTCTGTCGTGGCTGCAGAACGTAACTCAAGATGAAGTGTTTTGCTCGCAGATAAATAATGGTAGCTCGATGGCAGTAACTCAGCTCAGGTCTTCGAGATGTCCCCCATACATCATACCTTTGTTCCCCGAGTCTTATTACGAGACTCTGAGCAACAACGCATCATTTCAATGCCGAGCTCTTGGTGCACCGAACGCAAAAGTGAATTGGTTCTCGAAGACCGGACAACGTCTTTGCAATGGTAAATGTTCCGGTCGTCTGTGTGTTTCCGACCACACTCTTACCTTGCAGTATCTGCACAAAGATGACACTGGAACTTACAGATGTGTGGCCAGGAATGAAATCGGCGAAGACACTCGCTCGGTGGCACTTCACGTCCGAGGAGTCAACGTGAATCTCCTCCCGTTATCCGTGACCTCCACCTTCGTTACGCTCTCGTGGAACATGTCGAGTTCCGTCTCCAGTAACTACGTGCTCAAATACGTGGAAGTCGTCAACAGAACCTTAACCCCGTCGGGTACAAGTAACCCGAAATCTGTGACGTTCTCGGTTGGACACAAAATGCACTCTTATACCATACACGGACTTAAACCCGGGAGCACGTATTCATTTTCGCTTTGTATTCAGCGCGAAGAATACACTTTGGTGATATCAACAATTTTGGTTACGACTCGAAGAGAAAGTTTCTTGCTTACCCTCGGCATCGAACGTAATTATCTGAGTGTCATCGTTGTAAGCGTGGTTGTCGGCGTCGTCTCGACGACCTGCGTCGCCTTCTGCGGTCTCCGATGTTGGCGTCAGCGTATGAAACTACAGAATGAGTCGGCTCAGATGGGGAAAAGTGACTCCAGCTACTCGGCTCGTTCGATCTTACAGTCTTCTTCCACTCACTCCAACATGGCTTTTATAACCTACATCAACCTGACAGACGAAACACTTCTTGCGGACCAAAGCACCGAGAGCGACCTCTTGGGATTCGCGTGATGAAACCGCGAAAAACGAGAATGAAATGAAAGTGTCCCGTTCTGTGTAACTGTGAAATTATCAACAAAGCCAGAAAGAATTTATAGTCGGCGCTGTAGTTTATGGTGGAATATTCAAGGGGAAGGCTAGGAGCGAGTCTCTTGTGCGACAGTATAATGCTAACTGCACGGAGGAGCTTATCGGACTGAACGCTCAAACAAAAGAAACACACTGACCGCCCAAACAAAATAAACACACTGACCGCTCAAACAAAAGAAACACACTGACCGCTCAAACAAAAGAAACACACTGACCGCTCAAACAAAAGAAACACACTGACCGCTCAAACAAAAGAAACACACTGACCGCTCAAACAAAAGAAACACACTGACCGCTCAAACAAAAGAAACACACTGACCGCTCAAACAAAAGAAACACACTGACCGCTCAAACAAAAGAAACACACTGACCGCTCAAACAAAAGAAACACACTGACCGCTCAAACAAAAGAAACACACTGACCGCTCAAACAAAAGAAACACACTGACCGCTCAAACAAAAGAAACACACTGACCGCTCAAACAAAAGAAACACACTGACCGCTCAAACAAAAGAAACACACTGACCGCTCAAACAAAAGAAACACACTGACCGCTCAAACAAAAGAAACACACTGACCGTGCTACCGCAGGTACACAGAGTAGGCCCGTTCGCCAGCTTCTCCACCGGCCAAAAACTACCGCGCCGACTATAGAGCATATGTCTGATTCTTCTTAGAGATATTTAATGTTAAATGTTCTTGGCTTGTGTTTTTCGTCTTGCTTGACGGAAAATGTTTGCTGCAATGAAGAATTCTCTCTTAAGGCAGCCATCGGATGGTGCAGTGTACATTATCATGGCGGTTTTACAAGTTTGTTGTGGTGCTATCGTAAATTTGAGGTTGATACAGCCTTTTTTCGATGTGATATCACTCATTAACGGGAGTAATGATTATTGATACAGTTTTTATATAAATTTCTAAAATTTATTGTAAATACCGATACACATTCCAGGTTACATTCAGGTAAAAAGTAAGTCCGAGGCTGAAATAATCGACTGTATCAGATAGAGTAAAATTTCTGTACCATCCGTAATTTAAAATACATTAAATACGTAGCCTTACATAAAAATTAAGGGTCATTGGTTACTGAACGTTGTGTGTTGATGGTGTCCAATGCCGAACCTTGAATTTACATTATCTATCACGTATTTTATACATATCTTGGTACATCGCAAGCAGAAATGCTGTTTTAAACCGTATATTCAGTGTGTGAAAGGACCGCTAATCGATAATTTTCTAATGGGCCTCAGATGGCGGTTCAATTTTATTGAATGACACGTGACCTTAAATATACACGAACCAAACGTATCACTCAGTAACTGAGGGGTTTAAACTGGCTTTAGTCGGATACGACGTTACTGATAAATTCAGTAGTGATGTATGATATTGTGAGCTGGGATATTTGGCATTCCATATCAAGTTTTGTGAACTTGTCAAAGAGTCTGATGTTTTTTGTCGACGTCGAAGAATTGAGTAGACTCGAGTGGGAATCTTAATTGGATGTAGTGATATTTTTATTTACAACTAAGGATTAAATACACTCACTTCAGAATCTTAACGTGAATGCAGAGGTTTGATCAGTAATTACTGTGGATAAGAAAGGAAAACTGAAGATTGTTTGCCTTCGCCATGTCGAAACAGACATCTTGTGACTGTAAACTTAATTTTACGTATTGAGTGTAGAGTGACACCAGTGTAGAATGTTGGAAAAGTGTTCATATTGCATTTCTTGTGTTATGTTTTACAACGCTCAGGGTCTTATAAAATGTCTCTTATAAAACAAAAAAATTACCCGAATTTTGACAGGAAACTTACCGTGAACTTGTAACTATTCAACCAAGTTATATGGAAAACAAATAAATAATGTAACGCATCGTTAATAGTTGTGGTACGTGGTCTTGATAAATTTGTCATCTTAATCGATTTATACAGGGTGTTCATGAAATACACGGCACAAATTTAGGCTCGTTTTCTATGCATTATGGTTACAAAATACAAATCCAACGGGTTTAAGTTAGGTGATATTGTGGGTCGTGGTTTAAAAGAATAAGATTTCAAAGGCTCGTGTTTACGCAAGTTGCGCCGTGGATTTTATAAACACCCTGTATTATGAGAACAATTTTCTTCCAACAATCATTCAAGTTAAACACCCTGTATTATGAGAACAATTTTTTTTTCCAACAATCATTCATGTGTGACACCTTGCCTCAGCCAAAGGACTGACTGGCATTGTAGAATTCATAACAGCGCAGGTAATAATTATTCCTGGTGTTTCATGTTTCGGAGTGAAGGCATTAGATTTGCGTGATTGATTAGCTTCACGTGCTAGGGGCCTCGCCCCTGGAAATAAGTACAGGACAAGAGGCTGGGAGGGTCCTCAAGCCTCTCTGCTTTTGATGGGAAAACGAGATAAATGTCTGCCCGGTCATTCAGACCTTAACCTAGTCATTGTTACCGACTGAGCCTTCCAGCCCTGAAATCGACTAGTCTGCTGTTACACTCTGTGTACAGTTGGATTAAGATTAATGACACCTACGGCTGTCAGAGGCAGCGTGAAGTATTGATATTGATATTTGACTTAACGGTAGGACTATACAGGGTGTTTCAAAAAGGTATATACACATTATAATACGGAATAGTAACTTTGTTATCGAGGGGAACCTAACGGTAGCCATTTTGAACACCTAAATTATATTCGCTAATTAACCAAGTCCCAGTGCTGGCGTATGTGATGGTTTAATTTATTAAAATGTCTATTATATTTATTGAATGTGTGTCCATCGTTTAATTTATTAAAATGTCTATTATATTCATTGAATGTGTGTCCATCTTTTTGGGACTCCGTGCATATGAAACTTAAGAGGAAATTCCACTTTTATTCAAAATACCAGCAACTTTCACGCCTCCTGGAAGACTCTGGATCATATTTGACGTATATTCTGACGTATTTTTCTCTCTTTATTTTTCATGCGGTGTAGTCCAGATGTTCTTAACCTGTGATCAGTTTAGGTTAGGTTAGGAACTTTGTTTAGGATCGTGTGTTATTGTATAATATTTAAATTAAATTTTATTTCAACAAGTGAAGAACGGTCTCCTTGCAGTATACCCCCCCTCCCCATAATTATAAACTTGACGTACGTAATAAATAATCAACTTTCCTATTAGCAAACAGACTTAATTGAAAGTTTGGTTTTGAACAGAGTCTGCTTTAGGGATATTTCAGGTTCTCACGGCTGTGAGTATGAAGCTGGCTGTCTTCCGGGTTGTTACGCCGTGTAGTAGAAGTTTACAGATGTTTCAGAGGTGCTTCGTACCTCCATTATCAGGGCGATCGCTCTGATAATAGAGTGATTATTGCCTTAAACAGTTTCAACCATTAGATATTTGTAATGAGGAAGTTTTCTGAATTATTAAATATTATTTAGGCGATATTCGATTTCAGAGTCTTAATGCAGGTTTTGTTTGTGATGGTATATCTGTTTAATGACGAAACAATATCGAATTACATCAGCCGCAGGCCACGCAATTGTTAATTACTGTCATCGCCGCTGAATCCCTCGTGGCGTGACTGGCGGAGTACCCAAAGCTATTAAGATACGAGGCGATTGGGTAGGGGGGAGCAATTGTAGAGTTCGAGGCACAGCCGTTCAATTCCCGGTTGATTAGTTCGTAGCAGGTACAATCGGGCATGAGAAATTTATAAGCGACGAGGGAAGGAGACAAGAATGTAGGAGCAGTAGTTTCCAAAGATGTAATAAAATCGGACGACGTTACTAAAGCCCATTTCCTTCGCCGTTTACAGGGTGGGCCAACTTTTTTATATCCTCGGGACAATAATGATTTTTTTCCTGTGGGATCTAGGGCCAATAAACCGTTCCTGTGCATTTTTTTTTAAATTTTCGTTATATATGTAGGCCTCGATTTACGACGGCTCGTTTTACGCCGTTTAATATTAAGGCCCTTTTAAAATAATAATTAAAAAAAAGCAAATATCAAAAGGAAATTTGTAAACGCGACACAGGAAGTGGGTACCTAGGCGGCGCTAGTGTCGGTGTCAGTTCCTTTCTCCTCGTCCGCCGATACAAAATTCTTCCTCGATTTACGACGGTTCAGCTAACGACCCTGAGGAGGTGTAACGTAACCCCGGCGTAAATCGGGACCTACCCGTATTCAACAATACTTTTTCTTCATAATTTACGTAGTATATGTAAATTTTATATGAATTTTCCATCTCATCCTTCGTTCTACGTGTCACACCAAACTCATCATTCTTCATTCGATGACGCTAATAAGAGTTTTCTACGTCTCGGATAAGATTTTGTTTAGCTCTTCGTGTTAAGAGGTTGTCATCTCCTCTTAAAATCCTAGTTGGAGGGCTACCCCTTATCGGCTGTCTGCACCTGCTGGGTATTCGTTGTATTTGCACTTAGTATTCACACCAGGTGACCGCCTGCTGCATCTGCAACCTCTGCGCAGTGGTACCACCATAACCTCTCAACATGGCCGCTGAAATATTTATTAGTCGCTGACTTCTCAAGCCAGAGGCCTCTGCGGTCGACCTGAAAGCTCTGACGTCACTCGCGGAGGTTTCAAACGTAATTCGAAAACGCTCGTCTAAGTTACCTGGTCACAGTTTTAATTAATTAATTATTTATGTACTGTACCCGGAACGAAACTGCGCGCTCTTCGTGCGTTGCTATCTTATGAATGCAAAAACAAACGCTTATACTATCCAAACCAAAAACATTATTGATACACGAACTCAGCGTGATGTTAAATACTGTCACTGGGAAATAATGTTTGTAGTGTGCACAGTATTTTATTTATTTATTTGTAGTGTTCTGTCTGAGGAGAGGTCCATATGAACAGGATCCTTCCATCCTTTTCTCGGACTGGGACCTGTTCATATACGTTCTTGGCAGATGATCCAGAAGTGGTTTGCCATTGCCTTCTTCTGTGTGTGAATGGAGTAATTGTTGGGATGCCACGGAGGAAAACTCCGTGTTGCCTAGACCACGGCCTTGCCCAACACAAGTTATAAATTCGGGCACCGCCGGGAATCGAACCCGAGACCCCAGGATTACAAGGCCAGCGTTCTAACCGCTTTTTAAACTTGTCACTGTCAAGTCTTTCTTTAAAAACGGAACTTAAGTTTTCACGAAGAGATA